CCCTGGTACCAAAAAAAAAAAAAAAAAAAGAGTAAGAACTAAAAGGACCATTTAAAGGATTTTTTAAACGAGTTTATATTAACCAAAAATGACACTGAGAATTGAGTAAACTACCTATCCCCATGAGATTTGTTGTAGAAATACTTTTCAAAAAATGTCAAGCAATTTATAGAAAATGATATAAATTGAAAATTGCCCCTAAATAGGCTGGGGTTGTAGCTCAGAGGTGGAAGTATGCATAAGACCCTGAGTTCTATGTTCAGCATGGGTAATGGAAATCACCCAGAACTGATCACTTGCTGTTTTTTTCTCAACAGTTGGGGTTTTTAAAATTTTCTTCAAATTTACTTGTCATTTTTGTGTTCCTGTCCACAAATAGTTGATAAACATGCAGGTCTAGTGATTTCTCCCATCTGTTGGGCATTTCTCCCAATAGATCTCTAGCTTTCTTTCTAGTAATTATTTACCAAATGGTATGTGTACTAGATGCTTTAATCAAGAATTTAGAAGAGAGATGAATATTTTAATCTAACTCTCTTTTCCCTTAGGAGCAAGATCATGGTGTTGGCAGGACAGGAACAGTGAATAGTGTTGGAAGTAATCAGTCTATTCCCAGTATGTCTATCAGTGCCAGCAGCCAAAGCAGTAGTGTTAACAGTCTTCCAGATGCCTCAGATGATAAGAGTGAGCTAGACATGATGGAAGGAGACCATACAGTGATGTCCAACAGTTCTGTCATCCATTTAAAACCGGTGAGTATTTCGATTTTTGTGAAAAAATTTCAACTTTTATAAATTTCTTCATCTGAATAGTTTAAAAAGAGGAGGTTTTTTAATATAGATATATATTAATTGCTACATTTTAGGTATACAATACATTTACATTTATCATTGGATGTTTGTACCTGAACATGATGTATCTTAGTTCTTATTTTTTTCCCCATTACCTATGTGCCCTTTCACCCCCACCACCCTTCCCTATTTACATAGATTTTGTTTCCATTTTTTTTTCTTTCTCATAATTTTTCCTTTCTTTTCTTCCCTTTCCCCTTCCCCTCCCGCTACCCCTCCACCTTTGGACCTTTTCCTATTTCAAATTATCATTTATTCGTTTTAATCATTTTCATCCTTATTTACACTTTCAGTTTCTCACACTGGAGATACTATTAGGTATTTACACATGTGTGTCCTATTTATTTCACTTAAGAGTATGGCCTCAGTATGTATCCATTCTAGTTTCTCGTTCTTTATGGCTGAGTAGTACTCCATTTTATAAAAAAACCACATCTTCTTTATCCAGTTTCCAGTTGATGGGCATTTGGGCTGTTTCCAAGCTTTAGCTATTACAAACTGTGCCACTATAAACATGGGTGCACATATATCACTGTGGTATGAGTCTTAATTCTTTGGGGAAGATACCCAGCAGGGGAATAGCTGGGTC